AGGGTTTAGGGGTTTAGGGTTTGGGGGTCTTGTTTGCGGTGCTCGTCTGGATCCCTGGGTGTCATGACAAGGCACTGTTCAAGCACTTGGCTTGGCTGCTGGTTGCTGCCAAAGCCCGCAAACCTCCCTAACCCCAGAATCGCAACACCATAAACTGCCCGTGTGGCCCAAAAACCCTACCTGTCTAAGGAATTATGTGTGTATATATATATATATCTCAAATTAGAAACAAGTATCTATCTATCTATCTATCTATCTTTAGATATCTATATATAAAAAGACACCATGATAAGGAACCCTACAAAGCACACAGGTAGGTCTTTTCCGCTACAGGCTGTGCACAGAAACAAACATGATGTACAAACACCCCAAAGTACTGTACAGACATCACAGTTTAAATTAGATGGAAACGAAATTACTGTGCCCCAAACCCTGTCAACCTCGTAGCCAAACCCATACCCCAAAGCCTAAACCCTATACCCTGATGATAAGTCCACCCAAAACCCTCGGCCCAAAGCCCGTAAGCCACTCTACAGTCTCCACTGTAATTCCTTTTATGGTGAACCAATTTGCTAGTTGGGACCCTACCTTTGAGCTAACCCAAGAAAGGAACTACAATGGCGACTGAATGCAGACCCTAGACCCTAAACCCGAAGTTCCGCTGTGACCTGCTCAGGCCTTGGTATCTCCCTCACCGGAATCGCTGTCGTTCTCTTCGGTGTCCTGTTACGTTAGAGCTCATCGGGCTTAGGGTTTAGGAATTGGGAACCCTGCACCCTAAACCCTAAACCCTGCACCCTAAACCCTAAACCCTGAACCCTAAACTCAAAGCCCTGAATCCTAAACCCTAAACCCTGAACCCGTAATCCTAAACCCGAAACCCTGAACCCTAAACGCTTGGGGTTTCGGATTCAAGAATGTCTGCATGAAGTTGAGAATGCTTTAGGGCCTCTGGGACCGAGCTCCTGGGAATTAGACGTTCGGGTTTAAGGTTGAGGGTTTAGGGGTTTAGGGTTTAGGGGTTTAGGGTTTGGGGTTTAAGGGTTTAGGGTTTTAGGGTTTTAGGGCTTAGGGTGAAGGATTTTAGGGTTTAGGGTTTAAGGTTTGGGGTACGGGTGTAGAATTTGGCTTGATAGAGGTTCCGGTCTGATCCTTTTGTGACTTTATAGAGTCTAAGGTCTACCTAAACCCTCGATTGTAGTTCTTCGTTGCTATCTAGTCTAAGGTATACCTTAACTATCAATTGTAGTTCTTTTTCGCTAAACCCTAAACCCTAGAAACCCTAAAGCGACCTCAGTTTCATTGTCGCCGACCTCAAACATCGGCAGAGCACCGAGCGGCTCAACCCCTTCATACTGAAGAAGCCTTCCAGGAGCACCTCTGAGGCCTCCTGGTCTGGGGTTTCAGGTTTAGGGGGTTAGGGTTTCATGTGTATATATATATATGTATGTATGTATGTATGTATGTCTGTCTGTCTGTCTGTCTGTCTGTCTGTATGTATGTATGTATGTATGTATGTATGTATGTATGTATAGGTATATATATATATATAGTTATATGTATGTATATATATGTATATAGTTATATCGATATATATATATATATATGTATCTGTGTGTGTGTGTGTGCGTGCGTGTGTCTAAATATGTGTGTGTGTGTGTATGTATGTATGTATGTATGTATGTATGTATGTATGTATATATATATAGATATAGATATATATATATATATGTAGTGTACAGCCCACAGCAGACTGTATAAACATCTAAATACATAGGCAAACAAATAAATAAACGAGTCTCGTATAGGAGACCCTGAAGATGGTCGGACACCGAAGCCCCAAAATACAGAGAGAGAACAAACCTGAAACCCTAAACCTTAAACCGCAAACCCCTAAACCATAAACCCTAAACCTTAAACCCAAAACCATAATTAAGCCCTAAACAAACCCACAAACCTTGAACAACAAGTGGCTCCTGGCCTCACCCAGGCTGCAGAGCTCGGAGAGCCGTCGCTGGCTCGGCGCAGCGCCTGGCAGCGATGCTTCAAGGCTTCAATTTGCCTATAAATCCTTTTAGGGTTTAGGGTTTAGTGTTTAGGGTTTAGGGTTTAGGGGTTTAGGGTTTAGGGCCTATAAACCCTAGGCCCTAAGCCGAAACCTAGCGTAAATAAACTCGGATTCGAACTGGTTGCCACAGAGCTGCCGCGAGCGGTAGGATTCTAAACCCGAGCCACATATACAGATATGATTATGTATATATATATATACACATATATATGTATATATACATTTATTTATTTATTTATGCTTTATCCTATAAATGTATATACACATACACACACACACACATATATATATATGTAAATGTACACGTACATATACATATACATATACATATACATATACATATACATATATGTGTATATATATATATTTATGTATTTACTTATTTACTTATTTATTTAATGATTGATTTGTTCTATGTTTTACACACAATTACACACATAACTGTAGACAGATATACATATATGTACGTATAATGCTTGCCAATGATTCCATCAAAGCCCTTAGCCGTTGGTGTTCTACTCGCTTTTCGCCCGGCTCATGAGCAGATCGTTGAAGTGGTGGCCGGAAGATAAGGTTTAGGGTTCGGGGTTTACAGTTTAGGGATAAGGCTTAGCACATACTATGCCTCCAGGCATCGCGCTGTTCAAACCTGCTTGTAGGAAATCAGGAACACAAAAACCTACGTGAGCATGTTCACAAGCCTCTCAACTCAGGTTCAGATGGGTGCCAGCTAGAGTAGGTGTACCCGCGGCCCAGAGAGGCCTTTGGGCTACGGGTCGGGGGGGCCGAGTCTCATGTGTAATATGGTGCCAGGCGATAGGATTACCGACAAGAGCTAGTTCAATCCCCGAATTCTTAGACGGATACTGATAAGGTCAAACTCCTACAGAACCCCAAATATAGAAAACGAAAGCGTTATCCTATAACTGTGAACACTACGCTCCATAATCCTGAACCCCGAACTCTATGAGCCTAGATCGCCAGAATATGTGCCTGAATGATTAGATTTGGGGCTCGGGTGTAAATCATCGTAAAATTAAGAGGGGACGATAGCTGTGGGGGTAGATTATTCCGACGCCGGTATCCTGCCGGTTCGGGCTTAAGCCTTAGGGTATTTAAGGTCTAGGCGCCCATAACGGAAACGATATCGGTGTCGATGCTTGCGCTGATGATGCTGATGGTGGTGCTAATGATGGCGACGATCATGACACTGCTGATTGACGAAAGTTTGTGATGTCAATTGTGGGGTCGGTGCGAACACAGAGGTCAGCCGGATTAAGGGGATGCGGGATGCTTGTGACGACCCATGCCAAGAATTTAGTGGCTAGTGCGAAGCAGGTTGTGGGGCCCGGGCTCAGGAAATAGCTTCAAGGACATCATGAAGAAGTGTATGGTCGCGATGCTCGGGTGAGGATGGTTCTGCTTCTTAAGTCACAGTGTGATACCAGCGATTGGTACTGCCACGAAGACCGTCTAGAGTCTAGAGTGCATGTACCAGCACCGAAGGAACAGTTAGCTTAGTCAACTTCGAAAACAGGCCCATTAATGCGGGCGGGGTGCATCTAGGTGCACCCGCCCGCAGCTAAAGTGATCTTGCCGCCGATAAAAGAGGCCGCTTTAGCCCACCTAGAAGGAGGTCATGATAAGAAAGAAAAGATAAAGAAAGCTAAATAGGTTTACGCGCAGAACGATGCCTGGCCTAAAAAAGCCCCAGCTTGCATTGGATGCGACTCTACCATACATGAACGCTTTGCACGCCAAACACCCTGTTTGTTTGTCGGATTCTTGGGTTGCCCTAAACCAGCTCACCCACCTCTGGGAAACTTCCGTAGAAACTAAAGGTAAAATGAGTAGGAGAGTAGGAAGTCGTGAAGAGCAAGAGTTCGTTTACTCCAAACAGTTGCTGTATGGCTCAGTCAGAGTATTGGGGTTAGGATAGATGATGTAGGGCTTAGACTCCGGGCAGTGCAGTGCAGACACTGAACAAAGCCATGAATTGCATGGTTGTTGGACATCTTAAGCCACTGGAATGCTGAAAGTGGTTTGGGCTTCAGGCTCTTTGTTTTTTAAGACAGCCCGGAGCGAAACCTTAAGCCCCAAATGCATGACACATAGAACTTCCCCTAAACTCTAAACCCTAAACCCCAAAACCCCACATCCTGGACCTTGAGCACTAAACCCTAATTGTTCCCAGACCCTGAGCAACACCTTAAGCCTTTTTGCACAAAACAAACCTAGCATAAGCCCCATAAGCCCTAGTACGGTTTGCATTTTAGTGGCTTTCGGGCAGTGATGTTGCAGAGTTCGAAGATCTTGGACTATACGGCCTAAGAGCTCACGCCTTGTAAGGTTCAGGGTATTATTCTACAAATTAGGGCCCTAAACCCCTAAAATCCTGAACCTCTAATTAGGGTGTCGAGTTTTGGATTTCAGGGGTTAAAGTGGTGGAGTCTGGCAGTCTAGGACTGGAAGTAGCGCGAAGTTCGTCCGATTTGCGAACGATGATTCTGTCTCAAGTAAGTCGTAACCCAGTAGGCTCCATATGGCTCCATTGTAGTTCCTTTTTGTGGTTTACATTTAGGATCCTATAAGTAGTCCAAAAAGGAAGTACAACGGATTTTTGGACTACTTATAGGATCCTACATATAAACGACAAAAAGGAACTACAATGGAGCCTCTGGAAATGGACTGATTGTTGCAAAAGCCTTGGTTCGAACACCGTCGCAAGATCTCTACCCCCCCTAAACCCAAGCAGGAACTAGACCACCCAAGGGAAACAACCCTGCAAGTAGACCAGACATCATCTCTGCTTGGCGGATGATGGGCCGATAAGTAATGGACCATGCTTCCTTAATCCGGAATGCAAAGCTTGCGGAATTGCAGAAAGTTTAGTGTAGGGTGAGGATATTGGGCTTCATAAACCCCAGGGCGCCTGCGTCGCTTGAACTTGAGGACTCGCACATCGCATCCTCGACCTCCTCCACATGCGCCGGATCCATCGAACCGAACCTGACATTGGCTTTCCCCTAAACCCTAAACACCACGGCTTCATTTCATCACTAGGACTCTTCTGCTTGGGATCTCATGTACTTTCGGAAACTCCCAGCCGAGGAGTTTCTTTTGGTGGAGGGTATAGTGTGTGCAGGAACCGCTTGTGCGTATGGGTGTATGCTTACGGTTATGCATGTATGTACGCTGCTAGGTCGGCATGTATGTATGTACGTATGTATGTATGTATGTGCACTCACATACATAATTTTATATATATATATGTATATATATGTACACACACACGCACGCATACAAAGCTACACATCCATCTGGCTGTCTGTCTGTCCGTCTGTCTGTCCGTCCTTCCGCCTGTCTGTAGATCCACCTTCCCACACCGCTTTCCATTCTATCTGTCTTTCTATCCATCTACTGCAAGATACAGGAATGTGAGGCTCCTATTTAGTTTTCTGGCTCAACAGGCGTAAAGCGAATGAAGGTCCAGGATTTTGTCTTCAACATGTCCATAGGGCCTCAGCTCAAGGGTTTGGGTTTTTTGGTTGACGCTTTCTGTGAAGCTACGAGTATAAAACACACACACACACAACCTAAGCCCTAGAGGTACACCGCGCCAGTCACCCTTGGTGGGTCGTGCCTTGGTGAGCAATATTCCTAGTTAGTACTCGAACATACTCTAGTATACTAAAATATAGTGTAACCTATAACAGACTATATTTAAACAACAAACTTACCCCAGGACCCTTGCCTTTCCACTCCACTCCACGCTCCCGCTGGAGAAGAGCCCTATCTCGAACCCAAGGGCCGAAACGAGTCTCCTCTGTTAGACTGTATTATTGTATGATATGATATTATATTATATGATATGATATTATATCATAATATACTATGTTATGCTATATTATACTGTATTGTAGTATAGTACACTGTAAAGGTGTGTATTTTATTATGCTATGTTCTATGGTATTGTAGTATATCTTGCATCATCTCAGCATCTTCCCCTCAACCTCAAAAGCCAAGGGCCGAGGGGCATCGAGACGGAATGAAATCGCTCTACAGCAGAGGGTGCGAGGCCCATCATGGAGCTTCGCCTGTGTGGGGTTTAGGGTTCAGGGAGGGTAGTGTTTAGGGTTTAACGTTTAGGGTTTAGGGTTTAGGGAGCCTTGGACCAGGGATGTTTTCGGGGTTGTGCAGGCTGGTTTGGGGTTCTTTCCGGGATTTAGAAAGGGGAGAAACAGAAACCATGGGAGAAAGGAGGTTAGTAGGTTGTATATTGGGGGTGTAGTAGCAAATTCTATTATTGTGGGTTACGCCACTTCTTACACCGCCTGTGTTTATCAACAGACTAATCTAACTGCTGGCCAGTCTTCAAGAAACTTCTTCTTGCCTTCCAACGCAGACAGACTAGGGGGGGGTATGCACGGATGCAAATCCGAATGCAAAGAAGCCTATGATCCCTCTCCACCAGCTGCCGATCGAGTGGCTTTCGATCTCCGAAGTAGGTGCTGCTCTCCCGTTCCACGGCAGTTCGAATGACCTGCGGAACTTCGGGTGTGCGGGTGCGGGGCTTGAGGCAGAACCCTGTTGACTTGTGGTGTGAAGACCGCTAGTTCTGAAGCTAAGGGCGAAATACTGTTGATGATATAAATCATTACCTGAAGGACCCGAAACTATGGGAATTACGGTATATTCCTTATTATGGGTGTACAGGATTTATATCATCAACCGTAGGGCTTGAGTAATGCCGCAGGTGCCCTGAAATCATTTTCGTTGTCAGCGATCCCGAATATCTTCACGGAGCCCGAGCTTAGCAACCCCGCGACTTCTCAAGCAGTCGGGTTGGAAGGTAGTTAGCCCACAGACAGCCAAACGTCATCGCATGAATCAGAACAAGAACAAGTCGTGGACTAGGTCTTGTGAATTACTCGGTACGCTATGACCGCTTGAGCTTTTGTCCGACGAGGCCTGGCTCAGGGCTCAGTGTACTCGCTTTTCTTGCAGTACCAAACAACCCTAAACCCTAAGCCCTCAAGTAACAACCCTAAACCCTGAACCCCAAGCCCTCAAGTAACAAAGTAACAACCCTGAACCCTGAAACTACTTCCTGAAGCAAAGGAATCGAGGCAGAGCCTGCCGCTGACTTTGCCAGACTCCCATAAAACCAACAGAGCCCCAAACCCTCACCCCTAAACAAAAGAGCCCTAAAGGGCCCTAAAGCCTAAACCCTAAACCGAAGAGCCCTAAACCATAAACGACTTTGCACTCTGCGGCCCGAGATTTGAGTAAGTTCTGGTCCGAGAATGAGCGTAACCCTAAGGGTCCACGTACGCAAGTAGTATATACTCTGGCATGTCATCTACTGCATATGTCTAGTATAGCAAAGTCAGTGTGGTTCCGAGCGATTCCGTTCTGAGTTTAGGGCTTCATTACATAATTGCTATAACTTCTGTGGTCGGTCAGGGCAAGCTGAATCAATCGGAAACCCACTAAAAGCCGCTAAACATGCTCCATGACTATGACGGTTCCAATGGGTCCGATGAGCGTGCTAGATGGGATCGTGCAAGAGGTTGGGCAACAAGCGCTCTGAACTCGAAACCCGGCACCATCACATACCCACACCCGCATCCCAAAGGCAGCATTGCCTTGGTCCCGAAAACTCCAATCGGATTTATTGCAACCCCTTGAGGGTCTAGCCTCTTCGGACAATCTTACCAGGCTTGTAGTGTTTTGGATGCCAGTGGTTTCCGGTGTTGTATCGAAGAGATTCAAGGAATCCAGGCCCCGGAAGCCGTAAACCCACTGTCAAGCGCGAGCCCTACACCCGAAGGGCGCCATGTGCTGCCTGCCTACGAGCGACCACTCCAGCTCAAAACGTTGCGGAAGCTGCTTTGGTGTCTTCACTGTTTTGATGTGAACGATGACCATTCCACCACCAAAAAGGTCAAATAAACCCGGTTTACACCAAAACCTGGAAGTGCAGCAAACCATGTTGTGAAATGTACCATGGTTACTCTACACCATACCTGGACCCCCAAACGTCTGTAGAATAATAGCCTTTCATGGCTTTTGGGCGATTACTTTACCTATACTTCTGGGAGTTTAGGTAAGGGCAAGGTCCTCAACCGCTAAAGTGAAACTTCGACGCCTCCGTCGCGACGTTGTGTGTCGCGAGGCCGGACTCGCAGTGCGGATGCTTTCCCACCTTAGCTTCAGGTCTCGATCGCGGGTTGCATGTGGGGATCGAGGGCTTCAGGGTTTATGCTTTGCCTTGCATGGCAAGAGCCATAGTTCTGACTGTGCGTAGGATTTTGCCGTGCTGCGCGGCCTTCGTTCATTCAATCAATATAGCTCCTATTGCTGTTCTGGCAGCACGACTTGCAGCTGTTTCCGGGTGTGTGCATCACACATGATTTGGCCATGAACGAATTCCTTTCTTTCTTCACGGGTCTACACGAATCCTGAAGCCGAAAGCCGAAACGCCCTAAGCCCAAACCCAAACCCTAAGTACGGGAAATCCCTGAAAGCCCTGCCCTACACACAACATCCTGAAGCCTCTTACGTTCACGGAGACGGCGGAGTGAAGCATGGCTTTTGATCAGACCTCTTCTGCTTAGAAGCTTTGAGCCTTGCTTTGACGGCTATGAAGTAAAGGAAACTACAGGTGGGGAGTTCAGGGTATATCGGGCTTCTATAAGGATTCTATAAGGTATATAGACCTTATATAGGGCTCCTATAACGGTAACTAGCCACCTGAAAATGTCCTAGAATTAAAGGTACCTGGACGTAGAACTTCCAGCACCGCATGTTTGCTCATGACGAACCGTGTATATGAGCACCTTACCTCTATAATCCAACAGAAGACATTTCAAGCACGTTTGAGACTCGTTGCCAAGAACCTGACACACACACACACACATCTCCCAAAAAGAAACAGTTACCCTAAACCCCAAACCCTAAACCCTGAACCCTAAACCACCCTATACCCGTGCCCACATTCTGGAGGGATTCTGGCGGGAGCTCTTGATCCTGAACCTAAACCGAAATCCTAACCCCTTAAAAGCTACACCAAAAGCCCTAAATCCTAGAAGCCTTGAGAATCCGAATCCACAAAACCTAGGCCCTGAATACCGCAACCCCGAAACCCCAAAACCTCAGACTCAAAACCCCAAAGAACACCAAACCTCACACTCAAAACCGAAGGCTTATAAACCATAGAAGACGCTAAAACCTATCCGACCGTGACCTTAAACCCTGCTAAGAGGAACCCTAATTTCCTACCTACACCCCCAAAAGTAGGCAAAACAAAATGGCTCAAAACCCATAAAAGGCCACTGTTCTACATACTTATGGGGGTCCAGGTAAAGACCCTATTGCATAAACCACAAGCCCTAAACCCTAAGCCTCAGAAACTCTAGAGCCCCAAACCCTAACCCCGAGGCTCCCAGAGCCCCTCGGCTAGGATCCTCTCCTAAGGGTCCAAGTACCTAATAATCATATACTCTCCCAAATATTAAGCTAGAATACAATTATCCGTAACCGAAGTACCCGACTATTGGGTCATTTGGACCCTTAGGGCTCTCCTTTTTCTAAGGCTTCGGCCAGGAGGGGTCTGAGGATCGTCGCTCGGAACTGGCGGTGAGTTTCTGGAGCTTAGGTTTAGAGTTTAGGGTTTAGGGGTTCAGGGGTTTAGGGTTTAGTGCTTTGGGTTTAGGGTTTGGGGGTTCAGGGCTTTGGTGTTTAGTGTTTAGGGTTCTTCGGGCTTTAGGGCTTTGGGTTTGTCTAACCCTAGACTTCCTAGGACCTTATAGTTTGGGCCCCAGACCCCTTAAGGACCCAATAGTAAGGTCCCTGGAAGCCTAGGGTAAGGTTAAGGTAGAGGGTATAGGGATTTCTGGAGCTGGTGAGTTTAGTTTCGAGGGTTTGTGTTAAAGGTTTGGGACCTTAGGACTTTGGGTCTAAGGCCATGGCTCAAGGTTCGCAGCTGTAGGGGTATCTAGGATATTGGGGCTTGTTTAGGGTTTAGGGTTTTTAGGATTGGACAGGGTTTGCTTCTAAGCTTCGAGGGGAAGAGCCAGTGGAGGGTTCAGGGTTGCTTGCGTTTGTTCTTTTCAGGCGTAGCAATCCTCAGGGTTGCTTAGTATATGCCCGCACTGCGGTTGATGATATAAATCCTGCATTACCCATAAGTAGGGTTCTTATAAGGTAATGCAGGATTTCGATCATCAACAGTACCCCTCCCCCCCACACACACTGTTCTGATCTAAATCCTAAAACATGAACTGCAACTCATAGCCATCTTCCCAGGTCCCACAAGGCCTCAACTTATGGAGTTCTGGACGGCCGGCTGCTATCTCCAGGTCGATGTCTATAGAAGCTTCAGGGATCAACGGTTCTGAAGTGTCCGACGTTTTTCCTCGCAGAGGTTATATGTGAGGATCATGGATTGGGTGATGGGCAGCTTGGTAAGGTAAGCTAAGATTGATGGGCTCAGTGGTTGATGTCCAAAAGATTTGGCAAGCCGGAAGTTTTAAGTACTACCTAGTACACAGTATATAAAACCTAACCCGTCGGCCGAAAACCGTGGCAAAAAGCCCTAAGTTTTGTAAACTTACCCCCTTCCCTTTACCCCCTAAGCCCCATTCAGGTACCCCATGCTACACTGTGTTTGTGGGGAGCTTCATCACATGAGGGGCACCTTACTTATAGCTGTAAATGTCCTAATATCCGGTGGCAATACTCGGTGTCCCATATGTTCTGAAGCCCTCCTGTATACGAGAGCACTGAAGTAGGAGGCCGCTAAATCACTCATTGAGGCCGTGTGCGTTAGGATTTATTTGAGGTTCAGATGAAAGTAACGTCCTTGACCAGGCACCCAAGAAGCCGACTCCCTATTAATACTTCCGATGTACTAGCATCCACAGGCGGTTCTCTGAATCGTTCCCAATCCCAGCAACCCTCCCTAAACTCCAAAGCACAATGCAGATCCCAAAAAGTTGACATGCAAACCCAGATCCTGGGATTGGTGATATGAGTGCCTACAGACTGCACGTCTCTCTGTTGCTTTTCCTCTTCATCCCCATCCCAGGATTCGGTGTTACCAGAATCCATGAACACGTTTCAACGCAGCACCTTGTTGCCCATGTGGTAGAACATCCCGGACTGGTCGGATGCACCGTACAGGCCTTGCGACATTCTCCCTCGACCCTGCCCGAAACCCTAAACCCTACCAGCAGCCCCCAACTACCCTCTAAACTATCCCCTAAATACCCACTATTCAGGACCATAAGGGCTCTATTAAAGGGTACTTGGGGGGTGCCGGCACGCCGGCAGTTTAGTCTTCGAGTTTGGGGATCCCCAGGAGTCTGGATTTCGGATTCCTGGCCCGGGTTCGGGTGCCGCAAGAATCGCAATCGTCAAACAAATTCGAAATGAACCCAACAAGGGTTTAAAGTTCATATGGGTAGTTTTCTAGATTAGGGTCGTCCTGTTTACAAGGGTGCCGTACTATATTCGGGACCTGAAAAGGGAACCTGCCCATATATCATATAGGGATTCATAGTATAAGGGTATAGGGCCCCTACTTTCAAGTCTCATTTCGTCCTTAAGGTTAGTGGGACTCACGGCTTGGTGGAAGTGACCACTTCCCACATATGCGAGCCCGGGAGCCACGCTGTCCGATGCGCGCATACTTGCTTCAAGGATCGGGGACTAAGTAAATGCGGCTCTTAGCCAGGCAACTCTCCTTAGAGGTGCTCAGTATGAAATCCGAATGAACCTTCAAGTAGTACAGGGCCAGGCTGCAAAAGCCTACGCTACTTAAAGGCCCATACAACAGCCATTCGAAGTTTAGGGTTTAGGGGGTAGTGTTTCGGGTTTAGGGCCTGCGAATCAAACGTGTTGTCCCTAAACTTGGCAGGTAAAACTCTACGTCCGCAAAACGGCGCTCTCTAAGCGCCAGAGATGTGTATGTCGTCAAACCACTTTGCGACTGTTGCACTCCCAAGTGCCGTGACTTCCCCTATGCCCTATGCTTCCAAGGACCTTATATAGTTAGGGCCCTAGACCCCTTAAGGACCCAATAATTAGGTCCCTGGAAGCCTAGGCTTCAACAGTTGGTGATCCGACAGCTTCCGCTGAAACGTGCATCATCTGCAGCACTGCAAACTCCACGGACTACCAGCCAAAGGTCTGAAGCTGCTAGCTTCTCTGCATGCTACCGCATGTTGCAAGACTCAATAGTAAACTTTCTTCCAACGCCCGTGACATGTTGCTGCAAATTTGTTGGGACGACGGGCTAGATTCAGATGAAAGGAAAGAAAGCCGGATAAAAGAGAGGCAAGCCACTGGCGTCCTCCGGAACTTGCGTGCCCCAAGGAAGTCCTGGATGGCACCGAGTTTGCAGAACAAGGGGCCGCCGACATTTCGGTAGGAGGCTGGGGGTGATTTGTTTCTGCTACTCTCTGGGCCGTGGCTTCACGTTGCAACTCGCTGGTGCAGGGTGGACTGCTTGTGATTCTGCAGTCGTTGCTCTTGCTGGTGCTGCCATTGCTGCTGATCTTGATGCTGTTGGTCACGGTGGAGCGGAGTTGCTGCTGCTTCTGCTCCTCCTCCTCCTCCTCCTGCCGCTGCTGCTGCTTGCCAAAACTGCTGTGGGTGATATTGTGGTGGTCGTTGTCGCCGTTGCTGTTGTTGCTCCGTGTTGCTGTGAAGGTTGACGATGTGGTAGAGGCTGCGGCTGCAATCGTGGTGGTGGTGGTGGTGGTGGTGGTGGGAGTGGTGGTGGTGGTGGGGGGGGGGTGGGGGTGGTGGTGATGCGGGTGGCGGTGGCGGTGGCGGTGGTGGTTCTGCGGTGGTGGTGGTTCTGCTATTGCTGGCGCCGGTGCTGGCGCTAGTGCTACTCGTGCTGCTTGACGCGTTCCGTGCCGCGTGGGAGTTGTGGCATTGCCGTTGGGATTGGTGCCGCTGCTGATGGTGCGGTTTCTCGGGGCTGCTGGTTTCGCAGCTGAGGACGATTGCGTTGATGACGCTGCTGGTGTGCTCAGTGCAGTTAAGTTGCATCTGGCGTGTTTGGATTTGTTGATGAAGGCATCGCTAACTTGTCTGACTATGCCGTATTGATGTCTCAAGGCTCAGAGCTTCTGATTCACTGCTTAGAGGTGGATTGTAAGGCTCAGGGGATAGGAATGCTCCCTGAGATGTCACTAACCCTAAACCCTAAACGCTTAAACCTTAAAGCCTTAAACCCCAAACCCTAAACCACTAACCCTCTGCCTTTATTGCCAGGATGTTCAACACCAAAAGAAAGGCCAGCTGCTGCCGAAGAGCCCACGAGTTGCAGCACGAATCCTGTAGAACCGCCAAAAACCTGAGCTGCGGAAATTCGTGGGTTTAGGGTTTAGGGCTTTAGGGCTTTAGGGCTTTAGGGTTTAGGGTTTTCGGCTTAGGGTTTTCGTTGGGTTCAGGAATCAGGGTGAGGATAAAGACCAATCAGGCTGGGCTTAAGGGCCCCTTGCATCTGCCTTCGTCCAACCTTTTAAGCCCTTTGAGCGGTCCGGTCCAGCAGATCTTACAGCTTCCCAAAAACACCAATGCCCCCTTGAATGGGGAATTTTCTCGAGCGATGTCTTGTATGGTCCAGGAGGCATAGCAAGGTGTACACGGCCTCTTGATTCGGGTTGGTGTGCCAGGTTTAGGGATGAGGGTCGCATGAAGACACCGGGGAGGGGTTCCGAAATGCCCAGCACCTTATTCAGGACTAGTAGTGTCAATGCATGCAAGTTAGGATCTTGCACTGGGATCCTTTATCTTCTGAAACTCCCACCTGGACCCCAAAAGTATGTTTACCTACTTTTTGGGGTTTAGGTAGGCCTTAGACACTGTACTAGATTTAGGGTTTAGGGTTGCTCAGGCTACCAGAGCCAGAGTGTAACTCTAAGATGAGGCAACTTGCCATGCAGGGTCCTGCATCAATGCGGTTAGGAGGGTTCCTTCGGTAGGGTACGGCATACCGCGTGAACAAAAATACGAAAAAACCTTTCTACATTCATATTTCGCCTGTTTTGCTGGTTGCTTGAAAGTCTTACTGTTTGACTGGCTGCTTGATTGATTGATTGATGGACGGTGGTCTGGGTGCTAAAGTACTAAGCGCATTTCGTTCTGTTTCGACAGGGGAAGTGCGCGTGTATAGCATTGCAGCACCTTCACTTGCTGCCTGGCGGCCTTCAGCAAAGAGCCCGTCAGCGGCAGAGTCCAAAAGCAAATGCCTATTTAGGCCGCTAATTAAACCCTAAACCCCTAAACCCCTAAACCGACCAACGAACCGAACCCTCAATTCCAGACGCAAGGGACCTAAGAACCCTGAAGCCTCAACCCTGACGAAAAAGGGCCCTAAACCTTCTGAGCCCGGGAGTAGCTCTTCCAATGTTTCCGAGAAGCGAGCAGATAGACGCCTTGGCTTCACCGCCAAAGCAGAGTGGGTAGAAACTCTAAACCCTAAACCCTACCTAAACCCCCCCAAAAGTAGGCAAAATAATGGCCCCAAACCCATAAAAGGCTATTATTCTACATACTCTTGGGGTCCAGGTAGAGGGTTTTAAGAGCTTGGGATTCTTCCGGGGTTTAGGGTGGGGGATGTCTGCTGGTTAGAGGGGGGGGGAGGATTTTAGAGTGGAGGGTTGGCGGTTTGCACTTTTCCCCTCGTCAGGATGTGTTTTCCTGGGTCTGTGAATAAGGGCAACCAGAAGGGTGCATAAGAAATTTATAACCGAAGAGCTCTAAAATGGCTTCTACAGGCGAGTTTCACGTGAAGGATGCCCATACGTCCCAAGCCAAAAAACGTCGGCAGTCCCCAAACACCATAAATCTCAGACTCCTAAGGACTCCCTCTCCCAAAGCTTCCTTGATGAAAACACGAGCTTAACCCACGAGCTTTTCAGATGATTTTCTGAATATGTGCGCACCCATACAAAGACCTACACCTTGACAGTCCCTCACACGAGGAGCTGCGGGCACCACTTGAACAGACATTCAACAGAGACTGAAGAATCCGGGTTGCAATTTCTAGCAGCTACGTTCAGGGATTACTTGAAGGTCCCTAAACACTAAACCCTAAACCCTAAAACCCTAAACCCTAAAGCCCTAAACCCTAAACCAGATCATGTCGGAGCTCAGGCTAGGGTTGTCGGGTGCAAGGGAGCAGGCCGAGGGCTGGTTTCGTCTTGAGCAACCGACCTAGCTGATGTGTGAAAGCTACCTGGATCCCAAAACGTCTGTAGAATAACTGCATTTTTTATGGGTTTTTGGGGGCATTATTTTTACCTACTTTTGGGGGGTTTAGGTAGAGCTAGCTTCACAATCCCAAACTTGAAGCCAGAAGCACCTGATGCCATCTTGAGCAGGAGTCTCTACCCATAGGCCCCTATGTAGCTCCTTTTTGGGATTACCTTATAGGATTCTAAAAGTAAACCAAAATAAGGAACTACTTAGGGGCCCATGGGTAGCGAGCTTACCGCACAGAGCTGAACGACCTGAAGTCTCCGCAATTCGGGTGGAGCGGAACGAAATGTGACAGGGGGCTCCTCGCTGGAAGCTGGAGGACAAACGAAACCAAGAACAGATCGACAGATCATTCCGAAATCACGTAGGTAGTTCTCAAAAGTAGTTGGGATCCCTTTTTGGGTCCCCAGTAAAGTACGGCACCCTAATATAAACGGTACCCTAACAAGGACCCTAATTTAGAGAGCTACCCGCGCGCGACTTAGGGTTTCGGGTTGAAGGGTCTTGGGTCTTAACAGCTCTAGGGTCTCAGGGTTCGTTTAACCTGCGAGCTGCAAATCATGACGAAGGTAGCATCCACCAGTTCATGCTTTGCACCCGGGTGCTCGTTCGAATGGTCGACATACCTAGGCTATTGAACGAGGCACTCAGATTGAGAGATGAGTGCTGAGGGGGCTAGTAGATGTGCAGCGGCAGGTCCGATGACAAGCAATGAGGCACCACTGCTTCTGAAGATTTAGAAACGTATGATAAACCCTATAAACCCTAAACCCCCTAAGGGTCCATGTGCCCAAATAGTATATACTTTGGCCTTAATGTAGTCCCTATATAGGTACTTTAGGGCCAATGTATACTTGGCTGACTTCTGAATCATTGCTAAAAGTTAAACTTTTAGCCTACTTATTATGGTCTACAGAGAAACCCAAAAAGTTAGAGTCCTAAGAGCCAACCAGAAGAATGCCAAGTATAACTATTTGGGTACATGGACCCTTAGGGACCGTTTAGTATGTAGTTGCGGAGCTTCATGCTCACCGCCCAACACAGAAACAACCTTCCAGTTGCTGTCGGGTCTAGTCTGGTCTGGTCTATCGTTGTGTAACCTAGTTTGGTACTGGTACAACATTATATTCCATAGTGTTGTGTAGCATATCATGTTATAGTGTGTTGTGTAGTATACCATGCTATAGTACTACATGGTACCATAGGACATCGCATTCTATCATACTCTATAGTGGCCGGAAGTGGACATGAATGGCACCACAAGCCCCCTCAATGAAACTGAGGCAGCCTCCTAGAGAGCTCGAAACCCCACCCCAGAAATGAGGGCGATCTTCCCCTAGGCCTCCAGTTGTCTAAATACTAGGTTATTAAGTTACATACCGAAAGGTTAACAACCTACTATGGTTGATGATATAAATCCTGCATCACCCATAATAATAAGGAATATACCATAATTCCCATGGGGTCCTTAAAATAATGCAGGCAGGATTTATATCATCAAACCTACTATGTCGTTCTTTCCATGACAGAGGGACCCTGCATCTGATTCGGGGTATGTTGCTAGGCAAAGGAGGACAGGGCTCTCTAATCTCAGTTCTGAAGTCTGAGTGTTAAAGTATGAGTAGTAGTTTATGAGCATTAGTATTCGTATTCGTCTTTGTAACAGTTTTGCTATAAATTAGTATGAGTAGTAGTAGTAGTAGTAGTAGGAGGAGGAGGAGGAGTAGGAGTAGGAGTAGGAGTAGGAGTAGGAGTAGGAGTAGGAGTAGGAGCAGGAGCAGGAGAAGGAGTAGGAGTAGGAGTAGTAGTAGTAGTAGTAGTAGTAGCAGTAGTAGTAGTAGTATATATGAGATACGTTCTTGATTGCCGAGATGTTCCAAGTTACTATTCAAGTTTAAGGTCCAGTCGTAGAGGCGGTGTTGCAAAAACGGACATTTGCAATCTAAACTGTAGCACCTAAATTTCAACACCCCAGAGCCACGGAAGAAGGGCTGACAGCCTGCAAAGTCAGATCAAGATCCTGCACACCCTTGCTTGGAATTGTGTGCAGATCCGTTCGCTCACCCAGCTCCAGTGCCAGCACTAACCTCGTATGGGCAGGAATGCTACGCTTTGGATGTTGCAGACGAGCAACTTCAAGGGAGCGCCTGAACACCAAACTCAAAGCCCTAAAAGCTAAGCCCGAAGTCCTGACTGAACCCGAAACTCAACCAAACCCCAAACCCTAAACCCTAGAACCTGAAACCCTAAACCCTAAATCCCATACCCTAAAACCTAAACCCTAAATCCCATACCCTAAAACCCTGAAGCCCTGGTAGATCCACTAGACTTGGGGCATCTTTCGCAGATACAACGGCCGGCTCTTGCGTGTCGCCAACCTCCTTAGCGAAGCTCCTGCAGAGGCGCAGGGTTTGGGTTTTGGGGTTTAGGGGTTCAGGGTTTCAGGGTTTAAGGGTTTGGGGGTTTAGGAGTTTTGGGTTGAGGGTGCAGGGGTTTAGGGTTTAGGAGTTTAGGCGGTTTGGGTTTAGGGGTTTAGGGTTTAGGGAGTATTTAGAGTTCGGATTATATAAGGATACATTGAGGGTTCTGCAAGATTTTTATGAATGTTCTGCAAGGACTGTGGTGCCGGTTTAGTCCTTGATTGTGCTGCAATGCTTCCAGTCTGGACGAAAAGCAGACGCTTGAATTCCTGAATTACATGCTAAGTTAGCCTTTATCGGAGTTCAGATTAGGTTTCAAGATAGCACTGTCGGATGATTTCAACCATTGCTGCATGTCGGTCTGAGTAGCTTACTTTTGTCGGAGACATATTTTGGTCAGCCATGGTGCGAGCGAGAAAGGCAGAGCTCAAAGGGCAGCCTCCCACCGCTGGTGGAGTCAGACGAGGAACATGACGACTGCATGGATACGAGTTGTCGTCAGACTGAGCGGCCGTCCGCGTCGATGGGCGACGACGTCGAGGATCGTCGTCAGACTTTGTCGCCTAGGTCGCAGGAGTCTGAGTCCGACGCCGACTCCGACTGAATCGGCGTTGACGCCAGCTTCGCCGGTGTCGTCAGACCTCGAGGCAAACCCCAACGAAAAAAATATGGGCCTGAGTTGTCACTAATACCAATTCTTGGGCTCCTCCTTTTGACTAGCTACCAAGCCACTCCTAAGCCTTGAAGCCCTACCTTAAGCCCACGACCTAGCTGTTTACGAACATGCACAAGGACATCATCCTGAGACTTACAACTTTCCCTAGGTCCCTGAGTGGTACCCTTTTGCCCTTTGTATTTTAGGGCCCCCTTACTAAAACAGAATAGTAGGAAAAAGGGTACCCTTATTATAAAGAGGCTACTCAGGAACCAAGTTCCAGGCCTCAGGAGCACACCCTAGTCCAAGCTTTAAAACCCAGCACCCTGCAGCCTGAGACCCCCGGAAACCCGAAACCCCAAAGCCGAAAAGCCCGTGCCCCCCCACACAGAGGGCTTCTTGAGACTCTCCTATTCTTAAAGGGCTCTATAACTATAAGGG